TGGCATCTGCATATAATTCACAGCTTATGTATGTGTCACAGCTGATACTGAAATATAGGGTGATTTCTCCTTAAGACCATAGGGAAGGGAAGTATGAGTTATCACCAAATGTGGATTCAGTTTTGCACCACAAATCAGAGCTACTGAAATTAACACATATTAATTACTTGGTTTATTATGCAAAAAATAAAAGAAAATCACATAAACTTGCATTGTTGAAATGAAATTGTGGGGAGATATATAGACCCATCTCCAAAGGAATACAGAGATGAAGGAAAAAAGAGAATCCCACACTCAGGTTCATGTAAGTAAGCCGGTTGTAAAAATGAACTGTTAATGCAAACAGAAAACAAAACCATATGCAGTGCTACATTAATAATTTGATGACCATATAAGAACTATCTTGATTCACATTATGCACCAAAACAAGATATAAGATCTTTAATAGTTGAAGTAACAATTTCCTTTAAATGGGAAAATGAAAAGAATGCATAAAAGACATAAATAGTATTTAAATAAAATTAAAGTTTCATTTGGGACATAGAGGTCACCTCTAAAAAGAAGATATCTATGATAAATATATCTAACAAGAATCATACAAAAAAAAGTACTAATAAAACACTGGAAAAGGCTATAAAACACAATTAAAGGAAGCCCAAAACACCAACAATCATTTTACAGCTATGAAAACAAAGGTGGCCAATCTCATTAGAGCAAGAAAATGCAAATTATTACCCCAGGGAAACAGCAGTGCACACCCATCAGAGAGGATAAAATTAGAGACTGAAAATACCAGGTAGTTTTGAGAATGTTCAGAACCTGGAACGTATAACAAGCATTCCCAGGGAGCCTGTAATTAGCACAACCTCCATGGAATCTATGCGGCAGCATCTGCAGATCCTAAACACAAATACATCATTAAAACCAGAAATTCCACTCTGAGAAAATGATCATTTCTGTCCAATTCCATTTTCGTTGTCCGGTCTGTGTATTCACAAAGCCATATAGGTAAATAGTGTCCTTGCACTGTGTTCTGAGAAGTTGAAGCTACTTGGGGGAAACAACTCAACAAACCAAAACGTGGAGAATCCATTGTCCATCTTACGCCACAACAAATAATTAGGACATATTAGTTCAGTTAATAAACATGCGCTCATGTGGACAGAAAGTTGGGGAAATAAAAGTCTCTAAAATCACTTGATTTAAAGTATGTCATTCTTACACAAAACCAAAGTAAGCTAGGAATGAGCCCTTGTCATTAAGTGAAGCAAAGCTCAAGGAACTTGAGGAGTGGTGTATATGTGTTGTAAAGCTATGTGTGGGGGTGTGGTACATAACCTGTGAGAAAAAGAAAGAGAGAGAGGGGGGAGGGAGGGAAGGGAAGGGAAGGGAAGGGAAGGGAAGGGAAGGGAAGGGAAGGGAAGGGAGAGAGAGGCTCCATCCTGCTCTACCCTATTGCCATAATACAGGATCTCTCCCTGAATCCAGGGTAAGGCTAGTGGCCAACATGCTCCATTTTTCCTTCTGTCTCTGCCCTTTTCAGCACTGGAGTTATAGGCACATACCACCACACTTCACTTGCTATGTAGGTTCATGGGACTAAAACTCAAGTCCTCAGCAAGTGTTCATAGCTGCTGAGCCACCTTATTCTGTGCTTTGAGAAACTGAGAGTGCTTTGGAAACAAGCAAACTTACACATTCTTCTATAGACAATGCTGCGTGTCATATGTTAAGTCAAGTAATTCGACTATGTCATTACAATAGCAAATGAGTTTCCATGGGGAAGAAGAGGGTAAATGGAATATCTCAGACACGTAATTTCAAAGATGCAATTTGGATGCAAACCTTGATCAAGCTTGGTAATGAAATTCTCACTTCTTTTGAGAGAATCCAGACAGAAGAAGACCTCTCCTGCCTATAATGCCTTCAAAATTACAGTCTCATATCTTATTGGTAGGATTTCATATAGAATCTTTTCATCTTGGAAAGTGTGGTTTCTAGTGTTGTCCAACTAAAGTTATTTGGGACTGAATAAAAATAATGAATTAATAATCTACCTAACCAAACAGAAAACTATTGTTTTTCAAAATAGAATAAGCATGTTTTATTAAATCTGTGGCTGAACTTTGTGAAACTTAAAACAATAATAAAGCCATCTTATCCACACAGAACAATTTTTGCTTGGGTAAACAAAGGATTTAATAAAGATTTCAGACACAAGATATTCCAAGTCATGAGGCCAAGAAAAGCCTGTGGCTTCTCTCAAATACCACTTAGTATGTATAGAAGGCCTTGTGTAGGTGGCTGATGACACAGAATCTGAGGTATTTCCCCGATTATCAACATCATTTTCCATTCCTGACACCATGAGCTATTACAGCAATGCAATTATTGTGGTGGCCTAGGCTATGGCTATAGTTATGGTTGGCGTAGGGTAGGATATCTTATTGCTGTCCATATCTTTACAGTAAGTACTGGTCATGTGGATTCTACTGAGAATTTTGTGAGGTCATTCAGCCAATAGAACCCCAAAACACTTTATGTGATTATTTTCCCGTGCTTCTTCTCAAGTTCTTTCACAAGTAACTTACTCCCTGTTTCAAACAGCACAAAGTGTTTTATAGACCATTTCATCTGCACACTGAATGACTAAAGTCAACACACCTCACCATTTTGGGCAATAGTTATAGCTTGATTCTGATGTGCAACAATTATTTGACTTTTTCAATAAATTCTATCTTCATAGCAGACGTTTCCACACATCGGTCATTGGTTTTGCTTTGAAACTGGAACCCTAGTACGACCTGCTCTCACAGAATGACCTATGAAAATATTTCCCTATATTTAGCCTTCCAGGGACCCAGGCACCAATGGATCTGTACTTCAGTGACACATGACTGCTTCTAAATATAGTGCTTGTGTAGCTGAGATGCAGGACAGAAAGCACGTGATGTCAGAGAGGCTTTTACATAGACTTTATGGAAGACCTTGGATCCCAGGCAATGCAGGGGTATGAAAACCCTTGGAGGAAATCCCTGAGACAATAATATATGAAATAATTACTGGCAGGATGAAGCTACAGCAGAAATTCTAGGGAGATAGAAATTCGGGGAAAGTAGAATGTCTATCAAAGAGAGCCACAGGAAGTAGTGATTCAACAGGAGGGAGAGATCATGTGTGTTGCCACTAAGCAGGCTAATGAAGGGCTGCCCAATACTATTCTGTAACCTAGATTCTACACATGGAATTACAGGATTTAATATGTCTCACAATTCTTGTAGGCTGGCTTTAGTCCCAGCTCACCTTTTACCTTTGTCTATTTACCTTACACTTACCACAACAATATATCGTAACCAGCTTTATGAATTTTTAAGGACCCCAAAACTAAGAAGTGCCTTGAAATTCTTTAATAGCCATCTTGTATTAACATGATCCTAGAAAATAACTTTAAAGAGGAAACCTTACTTTATTTGTTGTAATAGAATTTTCCACCCATTGGTTGTTGACATGATTGCTATGGTCCTGATGAAACAGAGTCATCATAGATGTGGTGTAGGGGAACAGAGCTGCTTGTTCCCTAGCAGCTGAGAGAGAGAGCAAGGGACTCAAGATAAGGCACACTCTACATGAGCACATTCACTGGCCTACTTCCTCCAAACAGGGAATACTTTCTCTCGGTCTAACTAAAGATTTGTCACCAGATTAACCAACTGATGAACTTGGAGTCTCTAAGTCCATTAACACTTAGCATAGAGCCAAGGTAGCTATGAATGCACCGCAACCATTATCACAGATTCACTTACAATTTTTGAATAAAATTGTAGCAACTTTTTCATAATTTGCATAATTCTCAAATACAAACTTGGTAGATGACAACTTCATACTGTAATACCAAAAGGTTGGACATTCCCCCCAAACAACTGGAAACCAGTTATTTAATACATGAGGATTCAAGGGACAGTCAGACTCAAAGCAGGGCAGTCTCAGCAGAGAGTAGATTTGTAATATTTAGCAGCGCTCTAATGGTTAGGAATTTGGTGAAATTAGGTGAGTGACTAAATTTATTTTGAATTATGAAACAGTCAGGAGCCTTTGGGGCCCACAGGTAGAACACAGTGGTTTTGAAATGTATCCCAAAGACTGTGGGCTCACAGCTTGGTTTCAAGCTGATGGTTTTTTTGGAAAGTGATAGAAACTTGGGGGCTCTGACCTCAACAATGACTTAATTCACTGATTCTCGTACTTGATGAGCTGTAAGAATGTGGGCCATGGTAGGAAGAACTGGGTGACTTGTATCATGCCTGTGAAATCATCTTGTTCCCAAGCTGCTTCCTCGCACACTCTTCATTCTTAGCCAGGTAGCCATGACGAAAGCAATGATGTTCTATTACACATTCTTGACAGTGTTTCTCCCTCATGACAGCCCAGAGCTATGTATGGAACTGACTATAGACTGAAACCTATGAGAATATTAAAATTAATTTTCCCTAATTTAAGTTATATTCATGGGTGTTTTGTCACAGTAATATAAATCCAGTAAACATAGTCATGTTTTAATGGTGAAGACAACATTTACCAGCATGTCTAAAGCTTCTTACATCTTTAGACTGCCATTCATGAAATATTTTGTTCTAAAATTCCTCTGAGGAAATGTAGTTCTTGGGCTTGAAAACTCATTGGGTTTTGAGAGTGGAGAAAAAAATGATAAAGCTTAGTAACTGGTATTCAAAATAGCTGGAAAATGTCGAAAACACTCACATGATTTAACTTTGGGTGATTTACGAAATAGCAACACAATCTCCCAAGGAGGTCTCCTTTACTAGATAAACAAAACATTAGACACATTTTCTTGTGGGAGTTATTTTAAATTGTGAGAGTGCAATACTTGTGGTTTTCCCCACCCTCCCCTCCTTATATATAAAAGGCCCTTTGCTTTCAGAGATGTCACTTAAACCATAGGACATCTTCTACTTGTCAACTAACCTTCTACTATTGACACCATGTGCTACTATGGAAATTACTATGGGGGTCTTGGCTATGGTTATGGCTATGGCTTTGGCTGTGGCTGTGGCTGTGGCTATGGAGGCCTAGGTTATGGCTGTGGCTATGGGAGATTTGGATATGGCTGCTGTCGCCCATGTTGTTGTGGGAGATACTGGTCCTATGGATTCTACTGAGCCACTTCAGGATCCACTCAACCAGTTTAGTCTCATCAAGCTCCTACCAAGTATGACATTACCATTACTCTTACATGTTTAATGATGGGAAAACTCACCCAAGATAATATGAAAACTATAATTCACATTAACATTTGGAATCTTTATTCATTAATCTCTTTGAATTTCTTCTAATTGTATATTTTTTCAAAAATACTGTTTCTTTACTTCCACATTAATTTTTGTTAGAATGAACAAATGTGAATATGATAATTCAGATTTCAATAAACATTTCCATGTTGTATGTAACATTTTAAGTGGCTTTTGTGTACATTCCACATGTGAAATCAGCAGTGTTTGTACACGTATGGGGGAAAGAGAATGGAACAGAGAAAGAAAGACTGAGAGCCACTGATACTGAGAAAAAGAGAGAGAAAGAGAGGGGGAGGGAACGGGAGGAAAGGAGAGGAGAAGAGAGGAGATTCTAGGCTAGAAGGTTTCTGGAAATTCAAGAGTACATCCAAGACTAGTGTTTACGTTTACTATAGAAAAGTAATTACAAGACTTATGGTCCAAAAGAGGAGCCAATGTCTTAACCAGTAAACTAACATTAAATATCACCTAATGTCTATTGTTTTATCTTGATAAACCTTATGTTAACTCATAAGACACAAACTTTATGTAACTCATAAGACAAGATTCAGACTTAAAGTTCTGAGACTCCTTGGAATTATGCATCAGACTTCCAGTGTGTAGGTTCATAGTCTGTCCTGCATATTTTCCAGCCACTGTAGATCTCACAGGGTTACCCAGGCTTTGGATACAGGAAAGACATATCTGTACCCATCCATTCTACTGTCACTCACTCATTGCTCAAAGGCACCATCTGTTGCTGTGGGCTCCAGTATGGATTTTTTCCAAGCAACTCGGACAGACGTCTTTTTCTTTGATTCAGTCTTTGTTCCCACTATTCTTCATTCTGACAGTTCTATTTTGATTTATGACAAGTATGCTAGAATATCTGAAATAATGAACTCAGATCTGGCAGATCTCAGTCTCAATAAACCAAGAACATCTGTGCCATCTTATATGTTAAAACTAATTTACTTTGTTGTAGTAATATTTTGTTACTATTCTAGCCCAATGTGGAAGTTTTCTATTTGTTTTCAGTGAACTTGTGTACAGTTTCTATCATCTAGGTTTATTTACAAACACTTATAAGATTTTTATGTTGTATGTGAAGTGTGCAAAAATCCCTTTGCTATCTTTTTAATCTTCCTTCTTTTAATAATTTCACTGAAAGCTGTTTCTTCCCAGTTCCTCAGGCATACAATGGTTCTACTTCTATCCACATCATATCAAGTTAAGGCTGATAGTGAAACATCAGTGCTCCTGGTGCTTTAGGTTAGAGGGTTTTCCTGCCTTCAGGAGCTGTGCAGTCACTCAAGCTGTGCTGTTGGGTCATCCACAGGCCACTGACTGACCCTCTTCAAATCAAAGTCAAAACATCTGAGAACATCTGAGCCCCTAGTGGCTATATGCTAGGCAGTTCTGTGTCCTTCATGGCTATGAGATCTCCAGGAACACATACCTTGTTACCATGTTAAAAAGCTAGACCTAGTCCAGCTTTCTTCTCATTATCAGCTAAACTATAAAGATATGCAGATTATATTCTTTTTTCCTCCTAATCTCAGATGTTTCTCAAAAATCTATGATCAAAATTATCTAGTAAATGAAATTTAATCTATAAGCTGAGCATATTTGGAGCAACCACTTATAAACCAATGCAGATAGCATCCAAATCCAATATATCTCTAAAAATATTAAGCCTGTATGTGACTTGTACAGAATGTATGCAAAGTAAAGTCAGTACTCATTTTAAAAATTTAACTATCATGCACTCTGTCAAATTTAGACTCTAAACATCTAGTCTATGTTTCTTTGACTTTGGAGTCAAATATGATTGTCAATATTTTCCTTGTTCATGTAGAAGTGTATGTCCACTTTAGTACTGGAAGAAGGATGGAATAACTTTTCAAAAACCTTCAAACAATGTGGTACCCAAAAGCCACAAAATAATATGCAATTGGCACACATTGTAGTTTATACAGAAGATATGCCATTTGCCCTTAAGATTTATATGGATTGCATTACAGCTGTGCTAGCTAAGTTTAAAATCTGCATACATGACAAAGGGCATTATTGTCAAAATAATCACAGTGAGAAGGTGACATTTGCCTCCCCATGTGATGCCGTGCAGCAGGGTTACCAAGGGCAAATTCAACACAAGGGACAATACACCAATCAACTCTGCATTTTTAATTTTCATTTAAGGTTTATCAATTTGTGGGGGTAGGGGATAAAATGCCATGAACTGTGTTCATGAATGTTCAGTCTTCTTTATTGAATAAGTGTGAGCAATGGGGATATTAAACAATACCTAGTTCATTTGAGACTATAAGCAGTGTCTGTGGCCCGCCACAACGACAATGAGATTATATAAAAGTTTTATTCCTTGTTACTAAAACTATTTCACCTTTAACTAAATACTTATAGTGGCACAATACTGCTGCTGTAGCCACCAGTATGGAAGCCTGGGTTATGTCTAATCTGCAGGTGTAGCTGTGTCATGGCTCATTTGCTTAAGAATGTAAGCTCCAACTAAATGACTGTAGTGGTAATGAGTACAAATTTGGCTGCTGTCACTGTATTGTTGAGGAAATGCTTGTCTCCAGGCATGGATGACATACCGTATGTTGACTCTTCTCTTGTGATTATCTTACCACACCACTTTTCTACCTGTTTTATGCAGTTTGAATTGCTAATGATCAGAAATGATCTTAGGCAACAAGTGCGTACTATTAAATTCATATCACACCTACAGCATCAGCATAGAATAAATGTATTTTATATTTGTAAATAATTTTGTGTAACTACAGAGCAGACAGATTATATTAAATCATGTTTCATAAGTAGAAAGCTTTAGGTTAATTTTTACTAATATTAAACAGGCTGAACAGTGATAACAGGGTTTTTCATACATCACTATTAGCTTATACACATTGTTAAGTAATTGCTACACAAGACATTTTGTGTGGCCTTAGTGTTTCTTGTATGAAAACAAGGCAGATATGTATAAGAGACAGTTTAGCTTAGTCCCTGAATTTGATTTTGGGTTGTACACACTGATCTATTGTTATAATGCATCTAATTCCTTCACCTAAAAGTAATATACACACAGAACCCCTACCCCAACAAACAATGTACCCGACCACCTCAGAACCATCTATATTCCCAACCAGCATTGAACTACACATACTACACCAATCTTGGAATAATGGTGTAAGTTTTTTACCCCATCCACTGGTAACGATTAAATATAGACATTTTTTATTCAAGTATCTTTAGTGTACCCTGGTATGACATATAAGGAGCGGATTCAGCCTCAACTGGTTTGGTGCATGTCTTCAGTAAGAGAAACTGTGTAATCTTTTAAAGAGAGTCGTTTATTTGCCATCTTAGGTATATATTTAATTTATTGTTTCTTCACTATGTGTATGATTAAAACCAGGCACATTTTTTGGAGAGACATGCAAAATCAAAAATTAAATGAATTAATGACTTTACCAGTCCAAAAAGGAAAACACCCCTAAAATACCCACCTGTAAGTAACCAGCTCATCCTTCCAAAAATTATCAGGGTTCTTAAATACTCTCACTCATATAGCCTGTTGTAAGTCTTGACAATGTCTTGACAATGTATCCCTCCATATCCTAAACTATACTTTGCTCCAAACAAAAGTCTGATTATTTTGAAAATATGTGTAAATTGTTCTTTTCAATTCTTTGGATATGAAGCAAAAATATGGAAATATCTGATCTAGACTTTGACAGTCTGACTAGTGATCGGTATATCTTAAGTGGACAAACAACCTTTGTTATACATGTTACAGCATGCCAGATGATGTAGCGGCTGGAAAAAAAAAAAAAACAGTTGAAAACAATGAAAAATTCAAGAGCAAAGATAATGACCAAAATGGTCACAGTGTATGGAAGTAACACTTTGGGAAAAATATTTAACAACTATAAAATAGAATGGACAAAAAGTTTTTACAGTAGGTGTGGTATAAAAGTGTCTCACTCCTAGGGACAGGCTTCCAATCCAATCCAATCCAAGAGTGATAAGTAAGCCCCATAACAGCCATGCCACTATTGTGCCAGTGGACTTAGTTAACCTGGCCAGTTGGCCTTGTAGTGAATTGGCTTTACAGCTGAGTATGAGAATCAATGCCTTTTATTCCCCTGTAATCCGCACAGCACTTCCCACCACTATAAAAGATCACAAGTAGAAAGGAAGTTTTCAGCTCAGTTTTGACTTGATTTTTCTCTGTCTTACAAACACAGTGTCTGATGCTTTTCTCAAGAGGTAGTAGGCTTTAGTGAAAAACGTACTACTGTTGTTAGTCAAATTGACATACAGTCAAAATAAACCAGTCTGCAGCTACATTTCAGACTCAAATCCAAATTGTTTCCTAATTAATCCACAAAATGCCCTTATTACCTACTTTAATCAAATTATATTTTATTTATTTAATGTCTTTTAATCTAGGTCAGCTCCACCATTATCCATAAGTCATTAACTTGCATAAGTTCTGCATAGTTTTGTTATAGAATATCTGCATATCCTACCCAGACACACACCACACA